TGTCTCCATTGTGAGACTTCTTGTTACTGTTTTTGGCCTATGGAATACGCCACAGGGAGCTTGCCAGGCCCTGCGCTGTGGGCGGGATACTCTCGGTAGCTTGCCAGGCTCTCCGAGAGGGGCAGAGGAATCGAACCTGGGTGGGCCGCGTGCAAGGCAAATGCCCGACTCACTGTGCTATCGCTCCAGCCCAGCAGCTACATATATAAATATGAAACTTTCCTCGAAACCTGCGTTCTCAGGCTGGAGGCACTCAAGTATATCTCAGGAACTCAGGGGACATCAGGGCTACACCCAACAGCACAGGGGGAGCAGCTGTAGGCGCTGGGGATCGAACCTGGGGCCTCATGCTTGCACGGGCGTGCTCCAGCGTCTGAGCCCTCTCCCTGCGCCTGCATGCACACACTAGCATCTCAGCTAGTTCCCAGGCCCTTAGTCTCTGCCACAGCTGAACTCTACACTTAAAAATGGGTCAGATGGGCTGGAGCGATTGCACAGCGGGTAGGACGTTTACCTTGCATGCGGCCCAACCCAGGTTCAATTCCCAGCATCTCATATGGTCCCCTAAGCACTGCCAGGAGTAATTCCTGAGTGAAGAGCCAGGAGTAACCCCTGTGCATCGCCAGGTGTGACCCAAAAAGAAAAAAAGAAAGGGTCAGATGGACTGGGATTGGGTTGAGTGGTAGAGCACCTGGCTTACATGTGTGAGGCACTGGGCTCAATCCCTAGAGCCACACACACACAAATGAGCAACACGTTGGAGAGAGACAGAGACACAGGCCCTGGGAGAAAATACTTGGAACAGATACATCTAACAGAAGACTGCTGCCGAGAAGAGAGAGAACTCTTAAAACTGAGGAAGAGAATAAATAACTGATTTTTAAAGTGATCCAAAGGTAAGAAAGTCTCATATGTTCACACACACTGAGGTAACAATGTGAGGTGATAAAAGTGTTCAATTAATTTGACTTCTGGATTCATTTTGGTGCAGGCTGTCAGACAGGGAAGGGCCTCAAGGCAATATTTCTGGGGAGTAACAAAGCCACTTGTCCTCAGGCTGACCCTCCTCGTGGATACAGAAAGCCAGGCCTGACAGGAACTTCCCCAGCAGCAGACCCTGAGGAAACTGGACCCTCCCTACAGAAAGGGCTGGAAGGAAAATCCTTGAGTTGTTTGGTTTTTTTGTTTTTTGTTTTATGAATCACAGTGAGATACAGGTACAGTTACAGATTTACAATCTTTGAGAACCCTCAATTCCCTCCTTTAATGTGATTAACCCTGGAGGCTCGGCTAACCCAGACCAAGAAGGCTAGACCCACTCTGAGGGAAGATCCAGCAGGAACAAAGGTCAAGAAAAGGAGTTTCAGATAAGACCACACCCAGCTCTACCCTTGGCAACAGCCCTAGCAATGAACTCCTACCTAGCTAGAAAGCCCCACCTAGGCTGGAGTGAAAAAACCCATGCTACCCGAGCCCATGTGCTGCTTGTGCCCACGTGGCCAAGCCCATGTGCCACCAACAACAGCATCTCGCCTCTTGAAATGTGTAATTTCATGCTTTCATATCTCTATATCTCATGCAGAAATGTGTGTAGGGGCTCTCTCTGCTTTTCAAGGTCTCTCTCTCTCTCTCTCTCTGCCCCCCCCCCAAAAACCAACAACCCCCTTCTCTCCCTTCCTCTTCCTAAAACCCTCCAAATAAAATCTGTTTTGCTTCACTGAAAAATTTCTTTCGGCAAGGGGAGACAGGAACCCAGCAACACTGGGTAAAGCCTAGGCTGAGAAGACCAAGTGGCCTTCAGGTGTGGTTTGATGGCAACTGGTGGGGCTGGTGGGGCTCTGTCCTGTGCCATGCAGGGGCTCATCACAGACTTTATGAGTTCCAGCCTTCCCAGCTGGTCCTGGGGTGGCAGAGGTGGACTGGGAGAAAGTGACCATCTCTCCTCTGCGCCTCACATAAGGCACCAGCGGGGGTCACGTACTTCAACTTCATGTCTAAGATATGTACCTTGGAGACAGCACTACACACCTGTTGGCATGGTCATGATCCATAACACTGACAACACAAATATTGCAAGGACATGGACCAACAGGATCTCACATTCATTGATGGTGGGACTGCTAAGTGAGGCAGTCACTTGGGTTCTACGCAGACTTCCATCCCATGATCCAGCAAACACGCCCTTTGGTATCTGCCCAAAGAAGTTTTAAGTCACACACACACACTGCAAACAAATGCTTGTAGCAACTTTATCATTTTGTTTTGCTCTGCCTGTGCTGCTATCACTCCAGCCTGGCAAGCTACCGAGAGTATCTCACCCGCACGGCAGAGCCTGGCAAGCTACCCGTGACGTACTGGATATGCCAAACACAGTAACAACAAATCTCATGATGGAGACTTACTGGGCCCGCTCAAGCAAATCGATAAACAACGGGAGGATGGTGACCATGACCGTGCCTGTGCTGGGGCCACACTCAGAAATGCTCAGGCTTACTGCCTGCTGTGTTCAGAGGACCCTGTCAACCAAACCTCCATGCAAAATCCAAAGCAAAGCAACATTCTATTACAGTTGGGTTGAAGACAGAAACTTTTCAGAAACATTTTACATTGTGTTCATATTGTGTTTGTTTTACTAACACTGGAGAACCTTGTAATTTGCAAGGAAATTATACTAAGTAAAGGGGGCAATCAGAGAACAACAAAGACTACTGAGAGTGAGCTTAGCTGAGGCACTCATGATGCAGGCAGGTAGGTTAGGGAAGCCCTTCCACTCCCCCCCTTCCCCCCACCACACAGGATGGCAATGAAATTCCTAGCTAGGAAAGTTCTACCGCTGACCCACCTTGTGCATACAGCAGCGGACCCTGAGGAGACTGGCCCTCTCCCCACAAGGGAAATCCCTCGAACACCCTCGACCTCTCCCTTAATCATGACTAACTAGAGTGATTGAGCCCAGAGAAGATCCAGCAGGACCAAGGGAAGGAGTTTCAAAGGCCACACCCAATTCTACCCACTTGTAATACTCTTATCTAGGTAGAAGCCCCACGTGAGGCAGGTTGAAAACCCTATAAAAGCCACCTTGACCAAATACGCTGTTAGAGCCCATGTGCTGCTTGTGCCCACGTGGCAGAGAACATGTGGCGACGAAGCACATGTCGCCCGCATCTCTCCTCTTGAGATGTATACTTTTATGCTTCCATATCTAATGGTGAGGTGTTACATATGAAATGTATAGGGCTCTCTTCACCCTTGGAGAAGCCTATGTTTTCTCTTGAGCGCGTTTCTCTCTCTCTTTCTCTCTCTCTCATATGAAATGTGCAGGGCTTTCTCCGCCCTTGGATAAGCCCATGTTCTCTCTTAAGCCTCTCTCTCTCTCTCTCTCTCTCTCTCTCTCTCTCTCTCTCTCTCTCTCTCTCTCTCCTCCCCTCCCTCCCTCCCTCCCTCCTTCAAATAAAATCTGTTTTATTTCACTGCTTGTCTACTCCTAAAATTCTTTTCTACGAGGTGAGACAAGAACCCGGAAAACCCTGGGTCAGGATGGGACTGGTTTCTCCTTTCCTGCAAAGAGCAAATCCTCGCTCCAGCCTGAGTCCATGGCTCCCTAGAAATCGGGTGGCGGGGATCAACTCCATGCCTGGCAGAACAAGTGGACTTCAGGTGCAGCTGGGGGGTGGGGGGTGGGGGTGGGCTCAGGCCCATGCTGAGCAGGGCTCATCGCAGACTTTCCCAGTTCTAGTCTTCCCAGTGGGGGGGGGGGGGCAGAGGTGGAGTGGAAGAAGGTGACCATCTTTCTCTCCTCTCCAACTCACGTGAGCCACCCATGGGGTCCACCGACATCATTCAGAACCTTCGAGAAGTTCCCAGAGATGGAGAATAAAATAATGGTTACCAGAACTGAGTCAGGGGGAGAAAAGAAATTGTTACTTAATGAATAGGAAATCGAGGTTTGAGAAGATAAAACAGTTTCAGGAATGGGAAGCTGTGAGCACACCAGAGAAATGAATACACTCTATATACAGTGAACCAGACCTAACAGTGGCTAAGATGGTCAGTTTTATATGATGCATGTTTTGCCACAATTTTTTTTAAAAAAGGAAAAAACAACAGAAAAAAATAACAGACATACACACAGAGAACGTACAAGCTAACAATGTTCTATAACAAGAGTTTCCTGTTAGATGAAAATCTTTTTTTTTTTTTTTTTTTTTTTTTTTTGCTTTTTGGGTTACACTCAGGGATGCTCAGGGGTTACTCCTAGCTCTGCACTCAGGAATTATTCCCGGAGGTGCTCAGGGGATGAGATGAGATGCTGGGGATCGAATCCAGGTCGGCCCTGTTCAAGGAAGATAGATACCCTACCTGCTGTACTATAGCTACTATAACTCTCTCCCAAATGTAGATGGAAAAGGCTTCCTGTAATTTTTTCTCTTGTGACCGCAATGTTTACTCCGAGTTTAACATGAAAATAATTATTTATATATATTAAACATTTCATCTTAAATGGTGTCTTTTTTAAAAGATAGGATTTTTTGGTTTGCTTTTTTTTTTTGCCAATCTACATCAGCAAACTAAGATGTAAAAGACCCTTAACATACATCATGGTCCTTAAGTAACTGTGACTTTCCAACAAATAATTAACTCATTTCCGGGATACTGTCGATTACTCAAAATAGTCAAATGAATTTCTGTTGGTTACTCGCAATACTGTTGGTGACTCATAATTCTAAAAGGAGGTTCCGGTTTGCAGGAAGAAAACAGTTCACCTACGAGTAGGAGTCTTGTAAGAAGGCCAGAACACAAGGGAGATGCTGCGGGCGCCCGGCTCTCGCACGAGCCACCTCACCCGGGCCTGATCCAACAAGCCCGAAACCGGACCCCGGCCCGAGACCCAGGCGGGCCCAGCCCGCGGCTCTGTCCCAGCAGGACCAGGCCCCGAGTCCCGAGCACAGGGCCCGGGGACAGGCCGGGAGCACGCGCGGGGCATCAGCCCCCAGACTCACTCGGTCCTGCAGCCGTCAGACTCTCCGCGTCCCAGACCAGCGAGACCCTGTGACCCCGCGACTCCGCGGGTGATCGCTCCAGGTTCGGGGGTGCCCGGAGGGAGGGGGAGCGGTAGGAGGGGCCTGTGCCGGGAGGGCCGGGAGTGGGGAGGGGCCTGTGCCGGGAGGGAGGAGCGGCGGGAGGGGCCTGTGCCGGGAGGGGGAGCGGTGGGAGGGGCCTGTGACGGGAGGCCCGGGAGTGGGGAGGGGCCTGTCCCGGGAGGGAGGAGCGGCGGGAGGGGCCTGTGCCGGGAGGGAGGAGCGATGGGAGGGGCCTGAGGGGGAGGGGCCTGTCCCGGGAGGGCCGGGAGGGGGGAGGGGGTCCGCGCCGGGAGGAGGAGCGGCGGGAGGGTCCTATGCCGGAGGGGGAGGGCGGGAGAGGCGGGGCCGGGAGCTGCGAAGCCGGGCCGGGGCCGGGAGGCGGGGCCGGCCCGGGACGGCGGGAGGGGCGGGACGGTCTGTGCCAGCCCCGGGACAGAGGACCCCGAGCGCCACGGGCCGGCCGCGGATCCGGCGCGTCTGTGCGTTTGTGTCTGCGGGCCGCAGGGCGCGTGCCAGCCCAGTTGACCTCTGACGGGTCCCGTCCCCTCCGGGGTAGGCTCGTTGGCTCCGCCTTGAGGGGCACTGCCGGGTCCCTCCCGGCCGCCCCGCCCGCTGTGGGCATTGAGCTGGGCTAGGCAAGACCCAAACGACCCATTCTGGTTTCTTTGTTTCAAATCTCTGCATTGCTGAATTTCGTGGAACCTGCGAAATCTGGAAACCCTCCAGCAAAACGCCTGTTTGGGTTACGCACTGCAGACTTTTAAGTAATCACCGGCCTCTGAAGGCAAAGAGGAAGCGACTTCTCAACCTGCAGGGTCGGGCCTGACGGAGGAAGCCAACTAGGGTTAGAATCCTGATCAACCGCTTGCTGAAGCTCCTCTGCCTTCCCGTTCATATACAGATGCAACTGCGGGCTATCCTCAGGCAGTTTTAAGAATTACATAAAAGGAATCCTTTCAGGGATGGAGGCGGGGCATAGAGAGAATTTAGCGAACAAGAGAGGTTAGGTGCTTGCTTGCATGCGGTGAACCAGGGTTTGATGCCCCCCCCCCCCACATAAGGTCCCCTGAGCCCTGCCAGGAGTGAGCCCTGAGCCCAGAGCCAGATGTGACTCTAAAACTAAAATAAATGATTAGTTTAAATAAAGTGGTTCTTTCAGAAGCCTCATCCACTGCTAATGACAAATGTCCACTGGCTCAACCTTTTTGGAAAACGATATGGACACACCTCAGAAAACTAAGAATTGATCTTTAATATGACCCACTTACCCAGGGCCCAGTAACGCTATTCAGATAAGATACCTGCAGCTGGTCAAAGCTATAGTACAGCAGGTTGGATGCTCGCCTTGTACTGGCCAACCCAGGGTTCTGAGCCCACCAGGAATAATCCCTGAGCGCAGAACCAGAAATAAGCCCTTTGCACAGCTGGATGTGGTCCAACCCTCCCTCAAAAATAAATAAATAAATAAATAAATAAATTAGAAAACACATCTCACTCCTTTGTTCATTGCAGCACCATTCACAGTAACCAAAACCTGGAAACAACCCTGTTGGATGCTAACCCTAAGTGTTCTAGGCTTCATCAGTGGATCACCCCTTTTCCTCCTTCCAGAGAAATTTACAGTGCTCTTGTGAGCACCCCTAATCCCCTGAATGTATCTTTAATCTTTCCTTTGTGTTTTACCTCTCATTGTTAATATTCCTCAAGTCAGTCTTGGTTACTTACAAGCCCAAACTTCTAGAGATTCTGGACTTCGTATTTAGAGTAAATTACTTGCTTTTTTATTTCCCCTATAGCCTTTTCATATTTTACTATAGACTAGTGTTCTTTGCTTAAATATAAACCATTAATACTGTGCTCCTAATTTGGGGGAGTTGATTGACTCTGAAATATATCTACTCCTGGGCATCCATCATAATTACTTGACTCCAGCTTCCGTTGCCATAGTTCCTAACACCCCACAAAGGGAGGTCCCACCGTGGGATTGGGATGAACCCGGGGCGAGCGGCAAAGCTACCCTAGTATCGAAATGGGACAGTCTAGAAAGCATAAAAACACAGTCTTGATGCAAGTCCATACAGAAGGACAAGCTGGACCTGTAGGAGGACTTAAGTCTGGGATTTACGGTAAAAGCCTTGCTTGCCCTCAGAGTCCAGAGAACTAAGGTTTGGAATCTGTATTTCTTACTGTGTTTATCCAAATAAGTGCAAGTATCAATAAGAAATAAACTTAATTGTTTAATATGTACAACTAAAGGGAAAGAGAAAAGTAATATAGATGTCCCTGGGAGACAGAACTTCTCCTTAAGTTAATCCCCAAGAGAATTGCCTTCACCGAAATGCTCTACATCTATAAATGACCAATCACACCTACGTGCAGTCCTATACCTGAGACTCCTTCAAATGCTCTTGAAGTATTCTAGCAGCCCTGAATTAAACAGTTCATTTTGACCATCAGTTCGTGGTTCTCCATGTCTTTGTCTCTCTGCTGGGGAGGCAGGGGATGCAGGCAGGGGGGGGGGGGGTGAGTCATGTAATTATGATGGATGCCCAGGAGTAGAGGCAGGCAAAAATATTCAAAACCTATTTGAAAGTCTTAGACACTATTTGTCTTAGATTTATTTTGTAAAATTATGAGAATAATATAAATACTAACTGCTAAGACTGTTATATCTTGTTTGTTTGTTTGTTTGTTTGGGGGCTATACCTGGTGATACTCAGGGCTTTCTTCTAGCTCTGCACTCAGTAATTATTCCGGGGAGTGTTCAGGGGACCATGTGGGGTGCCAGGGATCAAACCCAGGTCAGCTGTATGCAAAATACCTTAACCATGTACTATTGCTCTGGTCCTGAGACTTTCACATCTTCCAGAGGAAATTGTTTCAGGGTTCTGGGAAAGTCTCTCCTTTTATTCTTCTGTCCCATCTTTATCCTGACGCCTATTATTGTTCAAGTTCAGTGTCTCAGCAGGCAGTTTCACTCATTCTTTTGTTAAGAAATGTCCATCACACGAGATTTTTTAAACGTTTACATAAGTGCCCCAGAAAACAAAATAAAGCCTGAAAAGTGTCACAGCAAAAATATGTTCTAGGGATTGTGATGACAATAGTGAATCAAAGACTCTCTGGAATGTTCAGTGGGGTTCCATTGGGTGAGATATCATCTACATACCTTGAAGCAGAAGCAGGGTAGCACTCCAGTGTCCACCGGAAGAGCCATGGTCCACTGTGAAGCTGCTGGAATGGTCAATCTCACAATGATTCAATAAAAAAAAAAAAGTTTAGAAAGTTAAAAAAAAAGGAAAGCCAAAAATATAAATAAATAAAATGCTACTTAGCTATAAGAAATGCTGACATCATGCAGTTTGCCATCAGATGAGTGAATCTGGAGAGTATCAAGATGAGAGAAGTTAATCAGAAGAGGGACACCACAGAATGATCTCCCTCGTATGCAGGATCTAGAGGCACAGTAAGGAAACAATAAATACCCAAAGGCTGCCAAGACTGAGAACTGGTCTTCAGTAGGAAGCCTATCATTGTAGGGAGGGTGGACCTGCGACCACCCCCATTCTGGAATGGTCTAGAGTCTGGCCTTTGGGTTCCCACACTCGTGCATCAGAACCATTTAGCTCTGAGCACAGACATCTTTAATGAGGACTTAATCCCCCGTGAGTACCTGGTCCAGTGCTTTGCGCGGTTGTAGCAAGATGCTAGTCTGACTCCAATCTAGATGCCCCGAATATGTGTACATGAAGTCTGTCTTGTCCTTAGGATGTGATGGTAGGTTTTCACATTGATGGTGCTCCTGAGGTTTACATGTATGATTTGAGAAAATTGCTTTCTTGGAATGGAATGATAGTGCAGCAGGGAAGTGCACTTACCTTGCATGCAGTTGACCCGGGTTAAATCCATGGCATCCCATACGGTCCCCTGAGCACCGCCAGGAGTAATCCCTGAGCATCACTGAGTTTGCTCCCAAACAACAACAACAAATTGCTTTTCGAGGGCATTTTCCTTGCACACAGTAAACCCAGCACTGCATATGTCCCCTGAGCACCACCAGGAGTGATTCTTAAGTGCAGAGCCAAGAGTGAGCCCTGAGCACTGCGTGGTGTGGCCCCCAAGCCAAAAACCAAACAAAAACTTTGGTTCCCAGCTGATTGAACAGTGAGCAGGATCTCTTTGCCAGGGAACTAGATAGTCACCCAAGAAACAATTGATACTGACATCAAGTCATGAGGACCGAGTTTTTTAACTCCCAGTCCGGGTCTTGGCCACATCCTCCTGTGTCTTTAGGGGGCAGAGGCCCCCCAAAGATGGCGAGCCGCAAAGTAGCTGTCAGCCCAGCACCCAGAACCATGACACCATAGAGTTCCTGGCCAGCTGCTCTTCCTCAGCCCACCTCAGTCTTCTGCAAGGACTCGGAGAGTCAGACTGCGGAAAGAGACTTCACCCAATATCTTTGCTCTATTTTCAGTTAATGACTTTTTTTAATGCAAAAGGAGAGAGAGGACGTCAGAGGGAAGAAGGAAGAATGAAAGGGTTATTTAAAATTTTAGAATTCCTGAAATAAAAGGAAGGCAGGCAGGAAGGAAATAGACAGCAGTTTGGTAAACACACACACACACACACACACACACACACACACACGACATCTCATATTCTTGATACACCACTGATGTACCAAGAGTGGCACACCACATTTGATGGGGTTTAAAGTATTAGGCAACCAATCTCAAGTAAAAAAAATATATATATATATATTCATACACAGGCTCAACCTGTCACAACAAGTTAGTAATCTCTTATACAAGGGCTTAATGACTCCAGAGTGAGATACAATAATAGCCACATACTTTTCCCTAAGGAAACTTTTTTAGATTATTTTTAATGGATTATTCATAATAAGCAATGCAAAATAAATTATTTAGATCCTGCTGTGGGGGCAGACTTTGGGGGTGGTGGGAATATTCGAAATAATGGTGATGGGAAGGTGTA